TAGAAATTAGGTAATTTAACTTTAGATTTTCCCCTTTTACCTAAGAGTTATTTAATATATTTTAAAAATATTTCCAGATAGAAAAGCCTCTTTGTTTTTTTGGTTTATTACTTCTAGTTTTATTTCATTACATTCAGAGTTTGTAATATTTTTACTTGTGGAACTTAGTGATGTTTTCTTTGTGACCTAATAGATCAAATTTTTGTGAATGTTCTGTGTGTGTGCTTGAGAAGAAGGTGTGTTCTCTATTAACAAGGTATAAAGTTCTAAATGCATAGCCACAAGATCTACCTCACTGATTATATTGTTAACTTCTTCTGTATCCCTATTTATTTTTATCAAATCTTATATTGAGAGTAATGTATTAAAGTCTTTTGCTATTATTGTGTTTCTATTTGATGTTTATATTTCTTTTTAGAGTCAAATACCTCCATTTTTATAAAGGTGCTTGTTGCATGTTTCGGTACATAGATCTCCATAAATATTGTATCTTCATTGTGAAATATGGTATTTAGCATTTGAAAGTGTTCTTTGTCACACTGAATGCTTTTTGGCTTCAATTCTACTTCGTGTAATATCAGGAATGAAACTTCTGCCTTCTTTTATTTCTAAATTGCCAGTTCATCTTTGCTTATCCTCTTATATTTAGCCTTTCTGAATTATTGTATATTAGGTGAGTCCCTTGTAGTCAACATAGAATTGGGCCTTGACTTATTAGCCAATATGAAAATCTTTTTTTTTAATTGGTGAAGTTTCCTGAAGTACTTATTGATACAGTTATGTTTGATGTCAACTTTGTCATTATACTGTAATTATAGTTTTCTTTCTCTATGTTCTTTTTAATATTTCTTTTGGTATTTAGGAAGTTTGTAATTTTGTTCTAGTTGGTTCCTTTTTTGTATCTATCTTTTATATAGCCTTTAATTTCCTATTTTCTTATTTAACCTTTTATTGTCAGGTGTGTTGGTTTTAAGTGGTATTTTTTTGGTTTCTATCCATTTCCTATTCAACGAATAAATTGTTCTACATTCCCAGTATTTCCCTTTTTTCTCTCCATCCATCTCCCCATTTTTAGCTGCATACCTTTTTGCTTTCATAGAAAATAAGACATTTATGTATTATTCTTCCTTGTATATTTCTTTTTTTTCTTTTTTTTTTTTTTAGAGCTACAATTAAATATATTAAATGCTTGCTCATCTCAGTCCTTTTATGTTATTTCCCTAGTTAACTCTTGGTTGGATCTCTCAGATAAAGCTTATTATAGGGCTTTTGAATATAATGTTCCTTGAGTTCTTAAAAGGTTAAAAGTTTTTTTTATAACTTTGATATTTGGACAACTTAGCTGGATATAAAACCTTTGGTTTATATGTTCCCCCCCCGCCCCCCTTAACTTTCTTAAAAATGCTACTCCACCCTTGGTGTGCTTTGAATGTTACCTTTGAGAAGTGTGATGCTAGGATACTTTTCTTGCATTTTAAAATAATTTGGATATTAAGTCACTTTTATCTAGTGACTTGAAATTTAAATTTTAATATTTTAGCATTTAAATTTTTATTTCCTTTATATTTTAAATATTGCCAAGTTATGTCTTGGAGTTTTTACCTTTCCAGATCAATTTTTGCATCCTAAAAACAGCCCTTTCATATATGGATTCAGTTTTTTGTTTTTAATTTTTGGATTATAGTTTTAAATTAGTTCTAAATCACTTGTTTTTCTTTTGCAGGAACTCCTTTTATATATATGTATATGTAAAAGATTTTTTCTGTCTTCCATTTCAAGTACTTTCTTTCTAACCATTGTTACTATTCTTAATCTTTTTGTTGTTTTTCTGTAATTCTTCAGTGTTCCTTATTAAATGTTAATTTAATAATTCTCCATTAAACACATTATAATTTAATCTTTATTTCTGAGGTAGTTTTCCCTTTTCTTGGATTTATTTCCTAAGTTCAATCAATTCTTGTTTTTGTTTCTTCCTGATTTTTATCCATTTTAGGTCTTAGTTTTGGATTTTCTGACTCAAGATTTATAGGTATAGAGCTTAAAATTATTTCATTTTTGTTTAAATATATTTCATTTCATTTAAATAAAGTGTATTTTTAGTGTTCTGGGTTTTTTAAAATATTTTTATTGATTTTTTACAGAGAGGAAGGGAGAGGGATAGAGAGTTAGGAAACATCGATGAAAGAGAAACATCGATCAGCTGCCTCCTGCACACTCCATACTGGGGATGTGCCTGCAACCAAGGTACATGCCCTTGACCAGAATCGAACCTGGGACCCTTGAGTCCGCAGGCTGATGCTCCATCCAGTGAGCCAAACTGGTCAGGGCAGTGTTCTGTTTTTTGATGTGTGTGTGTGTGGGGGGGGGGTTGAATTTTTATTAGCTTAAATCTTTCAATTTAAACTTTCCACTCAAGTCAATTTTGGTAAGTTACATTTTCGTAGGGACTTACCCATTTTATTTAGGCTTATTAATATATTGTAATTGTTTTGTTATATTGCCTTGTATGGATATATACAATTGCATAGTCCCTTTTTAGTCAAATACAGTAATACTGGTTCTAGGGATTAGATTGTGGGTAAATTTGGGGGATTATTAAGCCTATCATAGATAGCAGTATATTATTTTTCTTGTTATTATTTCACATAACCTGACTCTTCAAAGTATAAACATTAGAGAGAAAAATGTGAGTTCATATGGGTTTGAATTTTCCCAATTTGTACAGATATCTCATTCCAACTTTTTCTTAGGATTTGTCCTAAGTTTAGACTTAGAGCTAGCACTGTCTTACAGAGGAGTCTTTCTGATGCTTTGATAAATAACCGCTTGTGAATAGACTATATTATGGACATTTTACTTAATATACTTCATAGCAACTAATGTTCAGTGTACTACCTGTTAGTTGCTTGAAGGCAACTCCATTAGGTTGAGGTCTGTGGGGCCACTGAAGAAGATTTCACTTTTCCTGGTTTGTTTGTTTGTTTTTTTGGTAAAGGCTTTATTTATTTATAGTTAACACTAGAGGCCGGTGCATGAAATTTGTGCACTGCAAGGGGGGGGTGGAGTCCCTCAGCCCGGCCTGCACCCTCTTGCAGTCCAGGACTCCTTGGGGGATGTCCAACTGCCACAGAGGCAGGAGAGGCTCCCGCCACCACCACTGTGCTCACCAGCCATGAGCCCTGGCTTCGGGCTGAGCGGCTCTCCCCCTATGGGAGTGCATTGACCACCAGAGGGTAGTTCCTGCATTGAGTGTCTGCCCCCTGGTGGTCAGTGCGTGTATAGCAGCTGGTCATTTCACTGTTCGGTTGATTTGAATATTAGCCTTTTATTATATAGGATACTACACAGTCTACCCATTTAAAGTGTAATATTTGGCCTGGCCGGTGTAGCTTAATGGTTGAGCATCAACCTATGAACCAGGAGGTCATAGTTTGATTTCTGGTCAGGGTGCATTCATGGGTTGCAGGCTTTATCCCTGGTTGTGGTGTGCAGGAGGCAGCCAATTCTCTCTCATCATTGATGTTTCTATCTCTTTCTCCCTCTCCCTTCCTCTCTGAAATCAATAAAAATATATTTAAAGTATAACGTTTGATGATTTTTAATATATTCACAGATTTGTATAATCTACAATCAATTTTAAAACATTTGCGTTACTCCTAAAAGAAAACCCATACTGTGTAACCCCAAACTCTTGAGCCCTACCTAATCTATTCATTTGGTCTATTTTCTATCTCTGTAGATGTGCTAATTCTGGACATTTCATATACATAGAATCATGCAATATGTGGTCTTTTGTGTTTGGTGTGTTTTACTTAGTATGTTTTCAAGATTCATCCATGATGTAGATATATCAGTGCTTCATTTAATGGTTTCATAATATTTCATTGTGTGGATATATCACATTCATCAGTTGGTGGATGTTTGGGTTGTTTCTGCTTTTTCGTCCCCTAGCTCTTTTTTTTGTTAATCCTCACTTGAGGATATTTTTCCATTGATTTTTAGAGAATAGAAGGGAGGAGGAGAGGCAGAGAGAAAGAAACATCGATGTGAAAGAGATACATCGATTGGTTGCCTCCTGTACATGCCTCAACCAGGGCAGGGAATCAAGCCTGCAACCCAGGTACATGCCCTTGACCAGGATCAAACCTGGGACCTTCAGTCCGTGAGCCAGTGCTCTGTCCACTAAGCCAAACTGGCCACGGCTGGCCTCCTAGCTCTTTTAAGTCTCAGTCTAATTGAGAAATAGACATTTGGAGATTAAAATATTAGCATTATCAATGATGAAGATGATTACAGCATAAAGCTTAGCTCTCTAATTATCTACGCTGTAGCTCTTCTTTCCACTCCCTCTCCCAGCTTCTCAACACATAGGGCAGAGTCTGCTCCAATCACTTTATTTCAGTGATGAGCAGAGATGATGCTCTGGGAACAGGCTTTTAGTAGGAGAGAGAAACCAGAAGGGACCAAGTCTCGTACTTTTTCTAGAGAAAGAGGGAGGAGGATGGGACCATACCACTTCAGAAAGGGGAAAGTCCCTGCTTTAGGAGCCAGTACAGGCTGGATACTGGGAGGGAGATGGAATGATTTCTTCTAACACTAAGAAGACTGATATTTTAGCCTAGCCAGTGTGGCTCAGTGGTTGAGCACTGACCTATGGACCAGGAGGTCACTATTCAAATCCCAGTTGTAGCACATCCCCGGGCTGAATCCCCAGAGGGAGTGTAGGAGGCAGCTGATCAATGATTCTCTCTCATTATTGATGTTTCTATCTTGTTCTTCCTCTCCCTTCTTCTCTAAAATCAATAAAAGTATATATATATATATATTTTTTTTTTAAAAAAGAAGACTGGTATTTTAGTTCTCTCTCATAAGTTAAAGCAAATCTTGGTTTCTTTGATTATGAATTATGAAAAGTTTCTTCAAACATGTAAACAGTTGAACAGTGTAAATGATGGCACTTATTAATTGTAATATATAGCTTGTTGTCCCATAATTTACAGGTTCCTTCACCAACTAAAGGAAGATAATTCTGAGATAATTAGTAAACTGTGGACTGATATTCAGCAGAAAATAGCAACACAGTCACAAATAACAAGCCCCCTAGGGACTCCATCATCCACCTCTCCATCAGAGGAAAAAAAAGGTTTGTTTTCACATTATATTATTTCTTACAGATAATAGCTTGCTATATTTTTTTTTCTTTCTTTTTTTTTTTAAAAAATATATTTTATTGATTTTTTTTACAGAGAGGAAGGGAGAGAGATAGAGAGTTAGAAACATCGATGAGAGAGAAACATCGATCAGCTGCCTCCTGCACACCCCCAACTGGGGATGTGCCCGCAACCCAGGTACATGCCCTTGACCGGAATCGAACCTGGGACCTTTCAGTCCGCAGGCCGACGCTCTATCCACTGAGCCAAACTGGTTTCGGCTTTTTTCTTTCTTGAACACAGTAATCTTTAAAGAAGTTATTTGAGTTTTGACTGTCTTAGCCTAATTGAGTAAAATACTGATTGACCTGTGAATTGAAACGCTTTAATCATTTTTTTTCACTTGAGATGCTTTTGGAAATACCTTTTGTTTTAGCTGCTCTGAATGCGACCAATGCTGTCAAGAGAGTCCACACCAGGCTTCAGCCTGAAGAATCTTCTGAGTCTCTAGACTGCAGCTACGTTGTGGGACAAGTGCTGAACTCCAGGAAGCAAAAGCAGCTGTTAAATAAAGGTTCCGTCCCTTAATTCACAAAGATGAATTATTAGACATGTAACTTGACATGGCCATCTTAATGTCTTAGTGAATGCTTTTCCTTTCAGTCATCCAGTTGGATCTAGCTAAGTACGAATTTATTGAGTCGTAGCTAAGGAATGCCTCCTTTTATCCCATGTAGCCTTGTAGAATGCTGGTTCTATACATTCCTTATAGATTGTGTAAACCCGGTTTAATCTGAATAGATTTTTGTGATAAAATTGTGGTAACTCTATAAAAATGTTTTATAAATTGTGAACAACAGCCAAAGGTTTTTCTAGTAGTTTTCTAGTGTAATTTTTCTGATCTTAAAATAGAATGATTTCTGTCATTTATCAGTGAAAAGAAAACCGGAGTTGTGTGCCCCTTCCAAGCAGAAGGGAAACATGCTGTCATCTAGCACAGCCTCCACAGACTTATCAGGTAGCACCAATCCCAGCCTGGATGTCCTCAAGCACATGATACATGAAGTGGAACACGAAATGGAAGACTATGAGCGGTCGACGGGACGCGAAGTCAAGGAACCGCAGAGCAGCCAGGGTCTTACAGGCTTCACCCTGTCGCTGGTGAGCTCCCTCTGTCGCCTGGTTCGGTACCTTAAAGAGGTAAGCACATGAGGTTAGTAGGGTCTCCTCTTCAGAGTGCTGGTGGAAAGGCGTAGGGTTTTTTCTCTACATCTAATTGTTTGCAACTTCTGAGTAAAGTATAGTCACGTTTGAATAGCTTTGTTTAAAATGCCTCAGTTTCAGATTATGTGCAGTGAAAGTTTATCCTCTTCATTTTCCTCTATAAGCTGATTCGTGCATTAGCTGGCATGTAGGCACATGCTCAGGTAAGTGATGCTGATTTTAATATGAGCCTTAGTGAAATGTAATTAGGAAAGTAAATCTGCTATAAGTAAAATATCTTGTGCTAATATGGACTAATACTATTTGGCAGTTATAGATTAAATAGAGCTATTAATGTGTCCTCATTCTGCTGCTTTCCTCTGCTTCCTGCTCCCTTTTAGTTCAGTTTGGAGAATAGCATGCCTGTTATCTGTAGACACAGATTGAGGAAATCCCTTATGTTATCTCATGACTGGTAACTTGGGCTTTCCTTCAGTATCTTAGTGGCAGATATTTTATTGTTGTGAAATCATTTATAAGACAAGCAAGAATTGTTTCTTTAATTCATTTGTGAATAATAATCCTCAGAATGCTGTGGAATTAGAGTTAGCTTATGTAGTTCATCTTTTAAAAAATCTATTCAAACTATTTTTATGTGTTTAAATTTGTTAAACTTAAAATATGACAAATATTTGAGGAAATGTTGTTATTTAAAAATTTGATTCACCTCTGTAACTCAGAGGTTTCAATTCAGAGGTCTTCAGAAAATTGCTTTTTAGTGAAAGATTTATTATGGTGTCTGAGTCAGGAGAGTCTTAACATTCTTCCACCCCCAAGTCAGGGATCTCCAGGAGTGTACTTTTGGCTCTGAAAGTATTACAGGCTTAGAAGCAAGTACTTTTTAGTTAATCACTTGCTTTACAAAGCTCAACCACTTAAACCTGTTGTCATTTATTCCAAATTTGTGCACAGGTGGTCCTTCACGGTAGCTTGTGGGGATTGGGCTCCAGCTTGTGCCCCCAGGCTCGCAGCCCGAGCTCGAACCCACAACCTTGCAGCCCCGCAGCCCTGCAGCCCTGCCTGGCACCCCGCCATGGCCTGCCCGCCCCCCCTCCCCGCCCCTCCCCGCTCCACTATCCTGTTTGCGGGGCAATCGGTCAGGGCTGGGCCCCCTGCCCGGCTCCCTCAGCACCTGGGAACCAGGCAGCAGCCCTGCCTCCTGCTGCCGCCACTGGTCGCCGTCTGTGGGGTGATCGGGACCCCAACTCGCACCTGCCTTGGCCTGGTGCCTCCCGCTCACCTGCTCCACCATCCTGCCGCAGTCCCGCTCTCGTCGGGGCACATCAGGACCAGCAGCACCTCCACTGCCACCTGCTGCCAGCGCCGTGTTGCTGACGCCGGCCACGTTCCATGCCGCTCCCTGGGGGTCAGCGCACATCATAGCGAGTGGCTGAACTCCTGGTTGAGCAATTTGCATATTAGGCTTTTATTATATAGGAGGCTTATATTTTAACATTTAATTTTCAAATTGGTGATCTATTCACATGGTATGAAATTCAGAGACATGGAAGAGTATGCGATGAAAAATCTAATTCCCACCCCTAACTTCCATTTAACCAGTTTGCTTCTGTGTAGCCAACTATTACCAGACACCAGTATATCCTTCCAGAGATGGTCGATGTGTATTCAAGCAATATGTATATGTACTTCCCTCCACTTCCTTCTACAAAATTTTAGTTATTCAATTCTGTATACCAGCCTGTTTATTGTGTTCTATTTGAAGAAGGGGAGAGGATAAAGCTGCATATTTTAATGAAATATATACCTTTTAATAAAAATATTTAACTCTCATTATTGTCACATAATATATACTTTGTAAGTATTTTCTTTTTTGACAACTTTGAGTAGAAACTTTTAGTTTTCAACATGTGATGCTATTGATGGGGGTTTATTTGATTTTTTTTTTAGAGTGAGCTCCAACTGCGTAAAGAAGAAGAGACAAGGCAGAAATTGGAGCAGGCATTAGGTGATCATCGAGAGCTCATTGATGCTCTGACAGCTGAAATTCTACTTCTTAGAGAAGAAAATACTGCTACCCAGGTACTCAGATGAGATCCCAAACTTTTCTGTGTTTACTAGTATAAAACATCTTTAAGGATGTCTGAGATTCCTTCTAGTTGCCTTTGGTTTAGTTGTGCTGATGTATTACGTGTACTTCTTTATTATCATCAACTAGAGGCCCGGTGCACAAAAATTTGTGCACTCGGGGGGGAAGAGGAGGTCCCTCAGCCCGGCCTGTGCCCTCTCACAGTCTGGGACCCCTCGGGAGATAATGCCCTACTGGCTTAGGCCTGCTCCCGGATGGCAGAGGGCAGGCCCAATCCCTAGGTGCAGCCCCTGGTCAGGCTCAGAGCAGGGCTGATTGGGGAGTTGGGGCACCACCCCCTGTCATGCACAGAGCAGGGTGGATCGGGAGGTTGCGATGCCACCGTCAGTCACGCTCAGGGTAGGGCCGATTGGGGGGTTAGGGCACCGCCCCCGTCACACTCAAGGCAAGGTTGATGGGGAGGTTGCGGCGCCACCCCGTCACACACAGAGCAGGGCCAATCAGGGGGTTGGGGCGCTGCCCCCTGTCACTCACAGAGCAGGGTCCATCAGGGGGGTTGGGGCTCCGTACCCTGTCACGCACAGAGCAGGGTCGATCAGGGGGTTGGGGAGCTCCCCCCTGTCACGCACAGAGCAGGGCCCATCAGGGGGGTTGGGGAGCTCCCCCATCACGCACAGAGCAGGGCCCATCAGGGGTTTGAAGAGCTCCCCCCTGTCACTCACAGAATAGGGCCGATAGGGGAGTTGGGGCACCGCCCCGTCACACACAGAGCAGGGCGGATCAGGGGGTTGGGGTGCCACCCTCTATCACCCACAGAGCAGGGCCGATCAGGGGGTTGGGGCACCGCCACTGTCACATCAGGGCAGGGCTGATGGGGAGGTTATGGCTCTACCCCATCACACACAGAGCAGGGCCCGTGGTGAAGGGGGGGTTTGGGGCACCGCCCTCTATCACCCACAGAGCAGGGCCGATCAGGGGGCTGGGGCACCGCCACTCTCACACTCAGGGCAGGACCGATGGGGAGGTTATGGCTCTACCCTGTCACACACAGAGCAGGGCCCATGGGGGGCGGGCTTGGGGCGCCGCACCCTGTCACACACAGAGCAGGGCTGATCAGGGGGTTGGGGCGCCGCACCCTGTCACACACACAGCTGCAGGGCGATCAGGGGGTTGGGGAGCTCCCCCCTATCAGGCACAGAACAGGGCTGATCAGGAGGTTGGGGCGCCTTCCCCTGTCACGTACAGAGCAGAGCAGATAGGGAGGTTGTGGCCCCACCCTCTGTCACACACAGAGCCCCAGGGCGATCAGGGGGTTTGGGCGCTGCCCCCTGTCATGCTGATCCCGGTGCTGGGAGGCATATTACCCTTTTACTATATAGGATAGAGGCCTGTTGCATGGGTGGGGCTGGCTGGTTTGCCCTGAAGGGTGTCCTGGATCAGGGTGGGGGTCCCCACTGGGGTGCCTGGCCAGCCTGGATGAGGGGATGATGGCTGTTTGCAGCTGGTCACATACCCTTCAGGGTGGGGGTCCCCACTGGGGTGCCTGGCCAGTCTGGGTGAGGGGCTGAGGGCTGTTTTCAGGCTGGTGGGTGACTGAAGCTCCCAACTGCTCCTTTTTTTCTTTTTTCTTTTTATTCTGGGCCAGCTTTAGCTCTGGCTCCAGCTCTGAGGCCTCAGCTGCTGAAAGCAGGTATCTGGTTTGTTTGGGTTCTATAATCGAAACAGTGTATAACTCCAGCTCTGAGATCCCGGCAGGCTGAAAGCAGGTTTCTGGTTTTGTTTAGCTTCTATATAGTGTTACAATGTTTCAAACTGCAAGCTCAGAGGCTGGCAAGGCAGGGAATGTTGGAGTCCTCCGTCACTGAAGCAAGCAAGCCTCATGTTAGCTTGAAGCTGCCTGGCTACCGGCCACCATCTTGGCTGGCAGTTAATTTGCATATCGCCCTGATTAGCCAATGGGAAGGGTAGTGGTCAGACGCTAATTACCATGTTTCTCTTTTATTAGATAGGATGGTAATTTTTATTGAACATCTATTATATTGGAGGTACTATATAGAAATTTGGACTATAAGTAGTATATAGAATAAGTCAACTATCTTCAAGAAACTTACTAAATAGTGGGAAGACAGAATCTATCTTTAAATGATAACTACCAATATTATAGTAGTTTATTAAAAATGTTTAATGAGTGTTATGATAGCTACTCTTAATTTCAGAACAGTAGAAGATACTATTTGAAGAATCCTTCTGCAGTTGTATGTCATTGAGTTGCTTATAGTAAATTCATATTTTTTAGATATGGCTAATCATTCCTTTTTAATACTGTATAAGTATTTCTTCTAGAAAACCTTCTTGCCTCCATGCTGCATTAAATATTCTTCCTTTGTGCACTTTTGATATTCTCTGGATATTGCTCTCATTGTATTTACCAAATTGTGTTACACATACATGGGTACCTGTCATCAAAACTGTGAGCTGCTTAGGGACAGAGACATTTTTGCTCATCTGTTTGTTCTCAAATGGTGGTTATTACAACTTTATTTATCAGCCAAAGAAGAATAGAAAAGCATTAGTTGATAGACAAGTTGCATTTGTATAAATGGACAGTAGATATCCATCACGAAATTTTTTAAATGATGTATATAGTTCACATGCCATTTAATTCTTCCTTTTAAAGTCTATAATTCAGTGGGTTTTAGTATATTCACCAACACCATTACCTAATTTCAGAACATTTGTGTCACCCCAAAGAGAAACCCATCAGCTGCCCTCTCTTCTCTCCTCCATCCAGCCCCGGGCAACCAAAAATCTATTTTATGTTTCTATAGATTTGTCTAATTGGGATGTTATATATAAATAGAATCATGCAATATGTGGTCTTTTGTGTCTGACTTCTTTCACTTAGCATAATATTTTCAAGGTTCATCTATGTTGTAGCATGTATTAGCATTTCATTTCTTTTTATCTTGAGTGAACATAAGGTTTTCAATTCTCCTGGGAAGATGGGCAGTTTTATAATGTACTAATTTGCTCAACAAATTTTTATTGAGCACCTATTCTGGGCTTGGCACTGTTTTAGGTACAAGAAATATAGTAGTGAACAAAAAAAAAAATCTTTGCCCTCGTAGAGCATATGTTTTAAATAAGTCTTAAAAAGAAGAAAAAGTAAAGTATATTATAAGCTAAATGGTGATGGTGATATCCTATATAATAAAAGGGTAATATGCAAATTGACCCTAAAGGCAGAACAACTCATTGCCTGATGGCCACCTGCGGTGGGGGCAGGGCTGGTGAGTGGACAGGAACAGCCGGCCTCTTGGTCCCTTCCCCCAGCCATCAGGCACCAATCACCTGGTGGCGAACAGGGAACCGGGGGTGGGTGGTGGCAGGTGGCGGGGCCGGCTACAGGTAGCTGGGGAAGATGGCCCTGATCACAGGCCAGGCCTAGGGACCATATCCATGCACGAATTTCATGCACTGGGCCTCTAGTGTACTATAAAGAAAAATAAAGCAGGTACGAGGCACAGGAAGTGCCTCTGATGGGAAGTTGTAAATGGCATGGCCCATGCCTTCCTGAGGAGGTGACATTTGAGCAAAAGCCTGAAGGAGGTGAGGGAGTGAGCATGCAGATAGCTGAGAGATGAGCCATCGAACAGAGTAACAACTGCAAAGGTCTTGAGGTGGGAGGGTGGCTATTGAGCTCAGAAACATTAAGGAGACCAGTGTGGTAGGAGTAGAATGTGGGAAAGAGAGTAGTAGCAGACAAGAGCAGATAAGCCTGATCATGTGGGGCTGTTATACTGAGTGAGATGGGAGACCACTGAAGGGTTTTGAGTAGAGAAGAGACATGATCTTTTGTCGGTTTTAAGAGGATCAGTTTGGGCTAGTATGTTGTCTCTAGGACAGAGAATACTGCTCTTTCTTAGTTTATGGTGCCCTTAGTATCTTAAGACACCCCTAGGCCAAAAGAAATATCTAACACTTTCATTTATTAAATAGTTAGGTTCAAATAACTTATGAAGTATTTGTCTTAACTTATGTGCTATTTGAAAAAAATGATGCATGTAAATTGATAGAAAAAGTCATATTTTTATTCGTGATGAAATAACCACAATTATTTAGTATTGGAATATGTATACCTAGTGGGCATTGCACAGCTTCTGAAAGCTTGGAATCATATTGGACACCATCACTCTTATTTCCTGTTCCGCAATAATTTTTATGCAGCATTGCTTTTTAGCATAGCAACTACTAAAACCCAGCCTTGTGAATATATGGCATAATCAAAAGGAACATATCTTGGTCTAATGTGAACTGCCTCAAGCTAGTAGTTCACTGGTACCTCACAGAACATTTGTGTTTCCCTTAAAAATATGAAATGTCCTGTGGGGCCCCTGTGAGTTCACTGTGTTGCCCCAAGGTGCCTCAGCTTTGTTTGGGAACAGTATAGGGCTATATTCTAGGTGGTTAAACACTGAAGCAATGTAGTACAGACAGGAGTTATTGGGAAAATTCAGGTGAGATAGGACAGCGTGGTCTAGATTGGAAGTGGAAAAAGTTGTGAAAAGTGACCAAATTCTGAATATATTTTGAAGGCAATCAATAGGATTTGCTGATGGCTTGGCTATGGAGTAAAGGAGAAGATGTAAGAGAAGAGTTCAAGGTGATTCAAAGTTTTGGCCTGGGCAGTCAGAAGGGTGGAGCTGTTATTGATGAGTTGGGGAGGGTCACAAGGAGTTTGGTTTTGTGCATGTTAAGTTTGAGAAGCGTCTGTCAATTCCAGATGGAGATGTTGAGTAGGCCATTGGATATATGAGTGTGGAATTTGGGCGCTGCCATCTTGTGGCTGTGGGCACCACCATTTTTGAGGGTGGGGCAGTCAATTAGCATATTCCCTCCTTATTGGCTGTGGGCGCCGCCATCTTTGTGATGGTGTGAGAGTCAATTAGCATATTCATTCTTTATTAGATAGGATATGACCATAAATGTTTATAGTGCTCATGTTTATCACTTTAAAAGCCTGTGTTATATTCTGTTTAGTTTCCTGCATCTGATATAACTGTCTCTTGGGGGTAGTTTGAGTCAATATCATCTATATAAAAGGTTTTATAAGTTGAAAGCCTTATAAAAAGGTTAATACTTATTGTTGTAGCATGTATTTATTAATTAATAATATTCCATAGTTTATTTAACAATTCCTCTATCATGAGACTTTTAAAATATTTATAATTATGTATTCTTATGAATGTATTATTTTAGTATTTGAATGAAAGTCAGAAGTTCCTAGAGTATTTAAAATAATGATATAGTTATACAAATCTAGGTGATGATTTGATGTCTGACATGCCAACAATGTTATTTCATTCTTTTTTTGCTAGGCGAGACTTCAGCAGTATATGGTCACAACAGATGAGCAGCTTATATCGATCACACGTGCCATTAAGAGCTGTCCAGTGATAAATAACAACCAAGCAAGTCTGGCAGCAGAAAGGGGAGCCACGAGTAGTAGAATTATGGACAATCCAGGTGAGTGGGTCTTATTATTCCAGATTGGCATTAAAATATTTATAGAGTAAATAAATGAACGAAACCAGAAACTGATAAGGGGTTATTGCATATATAACATTGTCACCACTATAATTGCTGCTAATATTTATTGGATACCTGTTCTATGCGAGAGACTTTTAAAGTGTTTTACATGTATTATTTCATTTAATCCTCATAATAGTCTTATGAGATAGATGTTATTGTCCCCATTTTTCAGATGAGAAAACCAAGGCCTAGCGAGGGTTGGCAACTTAGCAAAGTCACACAAATAAAGAGTAGCAGAACTAGCTTCCTAGACCATGGGAAGGACTTAATGCCAGTACTTTTAATCATGGTGCCTCAGGGTCAGGTGGAGAAGAAATGGTCTTGGGAAGAAAACAGAAAACACTGAACTTTAGAAATTCATAACTTTTGTTTATTGGGTAATGGTTTGAAAACCTTTTTTACCTCATGTGCCATAGGTTGAATAGAACATTTAGGTTTTTTCATGTTTTTTACTTCTAAGTAATACTTTGATGAGTATCTCTGTGTGGAAAGTGTTTATGCATTTCAGTGTTTCCTAGGGAGAGATTCTAAGAAGTGGCTGACTAAAATTTAATATGCATGAGATAAACCCCATGGCTAGATATCAGGTCCTAAGGGCTTGAGGTCCTCAGTACTTTTCTCAAAAACAGCCACTTCTTCCCAGTGCTGACCCCATAGGAACCTACCCTGTGAGTTCCTGCTAAAGGAGGATATGGCCTAAAAAGTAAAGGCTCTCGAGGCCGCCTGATTCTGCCCTCTATGGAAATGCTTTGAAGTATACATACCTAAATGTGCCAGCGTTCCTTGATGTACTAATGGCCTCTCATCTTCTTCAGAGGCTTCAGTTGTAAATGCTAATGTCTCCATGCCATTGATGTTTCGAGGGGAAGAAGTGCGTGAATTCCCACAGGAAGACTTGCCTGTTAAACTATCTCAAGTGCCAAACCCTCCAGATAGTGTGAATCTGGCCAACAATTTTCCAGCACACATATTTGAGCCAGCTGTGTTGTTAACACCACCCCGGCAGAAGAGCAACTCAGAATTCTCTCCTCTGCAGGATGGTAAGCAGGCTTCTTCTAAAGTTACATGGTAGTTGTTTTTTATGCTTCATATATGTAATCCATGTGTGCATCATTACCTGATAAACAGAATTAAAAAGATATTGATTACCATACATCACCTTTAAGTCAAAGGAGGATGGGGTGGTTTACATCATGTATGCTATGCCTATGGTGAAATGTGACGTTGAGTTTCATTACATATATGTTCCATTAGGCATTATAAATGTTAAGCTCAAATCAAGGGATCAAAGCCCTCCACATTAAAACATGGAGTGAGGGGAATCCCATTTGTCCCTATGGTCCAGGGCATGGGGAAGAGTAAGAAGCAAGAGGAGACTATTCTCTAAAGAGTAATGAATGTTTAACTAAGGAAAGGTGAGAGCCATGACCTGAGGGATTTTTTAAGTCAGATCTGGTTATTAACCTCTTTCTCATCAAAACTTTAGCTCAGTCAGTTGAGGGAAATTGGTAATGAAAGTCTGTGGACAATTAAAAATTGCTTTCGAGTCACTTTTGCAGCGCATATATAGAGTTGAAATAAAATTTCTAAAAAATTATTAATACTTAGCTCATAGATTTTTACAAAATCACAAATAGGATTTTTATTTGTCACCATTAAAAGTCTGAATTTTAAACAGATTCTTGGACTAGGGGCTCATATCCATCAGTTTATTCAGCTTCAGCACCTGTCTCATCCCAGTGGCTTTTCCGGAATTGCTTCCTTCACCGTGAAGCTCCATGAGTTTTCCCAACTCTAACTTGGGCTTCTTCCGCATTTGACTTTCTAACAAAGACGTCGTGGAGTGAATAAATATGTGTTTTCCAATGCTATCTGGAATCATTTTATTGACCACTTCTTTCAAGTTATTTGCACTCTCGGGTCTTGATGTCTATCATCTTCGTCCAGATTTGGCAGACTTATTGATGCTGAGCAAGGGTCTTCTGAATCTGACTTTTGCATTTTCTAGTAAAACCAACACAGACTAGATGAAGCAAATAACCATTGGTAGTCTTGACATCGACATGAGCTTTAATCACGGTCTGCCACTTTTTTTTTCTTTTCTTTTTTTTTTTTTTAACCAGAAAGCACATTTTGTCATGGGTAAGATCCATGCCATGGAAATTAGTCAGGCAGTTTTGCCCTGAACATCCTCAATAATTAGCTTGGATTTTCTAAATGCCACTTTATCATTTTGCAGATCAGCGAGGCTTGCTTCAAAAACACGACCCTTGAGACCATCAGATGCGATTTTGGTTCCTTGAGCTCTCGTGACTAGTGTTTTTCTAGTATTTCTTATGTTGAACAGAGCTGGTCCTTTCACATCACACCAATCTTTCTGGGATCACCTTCTTCGCTGCCTTTTTGTCGCCTTTTGGAAGGTGCTGTTCAGAGAGCCAAAAGGGCCCTTGGCTCACAGATTCTTAACTTGGATTTCATGTATGGTCTTCAGAATCTCCATGGATTGCTTCATTGTTTGGAAAATTATATTTATTTGTCCACATGTGCATTTTCTGGAGCTATAATCATTTCATTTTCCAAAGAGTTCTTCAATCAAAAACTACTTTAGACTTTCAGGCAAAGTTTTTAGAAAAATGTTGAGCACCTGAAATGTGGCCAGTGACTGACGAACGGAATATTTTATTTTAGTTAATTTAAATTTGAATATGAATAGCCACATGTGGCCAGAGGCTACCATACTGGAGAATGTTGCTCTAGAATTTTCCATCATAAATATTTCCTTTAGCTATTAACTTACCTCTATTTTTGTTTAATGCCACGCTTGAAAGACTAGTGTGTGTGTGTGTGTGTGTGTGTGTGTGTGTGTGTGTGTATATATATATATACTGTTTTCATTTTCTTATATTCCATTCCTTCTTTATTTTAAAGTGTTAGTTCTAATTCCTATTTGCATGTGGCTAAGGGAAAAAAAAGCATATACAGGGATCTCTTCCTCACACACCTCTTGACCTACCCAAGAGGCAATCATTTTTATCCCAATTTAATTTCTGTTTATCTGGAGGGGCTCTCCATAATTAATATAAGACATTTTTACATCTCTGGCTGCTTCATTTCTATCTGCTTTGCTCGCTTCCTATCCTTTACTTGACTCTAAATGTTAAGTTCTTCATGTCTTGGTATTGTTTTTTCCCTCACTCTATTCTTTCTCTCTGTGTAATCTCACTCATTCTCATGGCTTCCAGTATTTTCTATCTGCCAGAGAATTCCAGTTTTGAACATAATGCACCTTAAACTTGCACGTTCAGAACTGAATTTTTGATACTCAACCTTCCCCCAAATCTGTTCTTCTTATCTTCTCCATCTCAGTGCATGGCATCACCTTCCATTCAGTTGTGCATGCCATGATCTTACTCCCCATTTCCAGTTTATCATTTCAATTCTATTGCCAAAATACTTCCCAAATTTATCTACTTCTCTCTGTCTTTATACCAACATACCTTAGTCAAAGCTACCATTGTCTGTCTTCTAGATTACCACCGTTGCTTATTGATTTCTTCCATCCTGGATCTTCCAGTTATCCACAACATTTAAGAAATGTAAATTGAGTCATTGCCAAACCTTCTGCAGTCTATTGTTCTTGGATTAAATTGGAAAATTCCAAACGTGGCTTAAAGAGCTCTGTAAGAAATGGCCCTGCACACCTCTCCAGTCTCATCCGTTTCCAGTTCCTCTCGTTGCTATGCTACAGCTAGCCTGGCCTCCTTTCTTTGCTCTTTCCTATTTTGAGGCTTTCACATATGTTGTTCCCTGCCTGTAATGTTATTTGCTCTACTTCTGCCACATATGTAATTATTTAAAATTTTTACTTCTTCAGAGATGCCTTTCCTGACCATCCTCACTTTACATTATTATCTTTACTGTTCTCACCCGCAAAATTCCCAGATATGAGTTAATGTAATGTGAAAATGTGGACTTGGCAGGTGGTTTTTCACAGGCATACTGATTAAGCTTTAAGGTATATCAAAGCTTAATTACTAATTTAGCTACTAATTTATTTCTGTTTTGTTTAATTAACTACTCATGAGTAGATAAAGTCTTCATGCTTGATTGTTGGTGGTGGCATTGCAGGCCAATTTAGACCTTCAGAAACCAACTCCTTCTGTTGAAATACTTCTCTAACTACCATGATGGGCTAATGAGATGATTACACTGCCAATCTGTGGCTAAATAATACATGTTTGTTATTTTAAAATTTTATCTACAGTATTGAGGAGGACCGTTCAAACTCGTCCTGCTCCACGAATTCCTCCAACTGTGGAAATAATTGAGAAGGAACAAAATTGGGAAAAGAAGTCCTCACCGCCCAGCACAGATATTCAGAATTCAAGTGACGAGAGTCATCTCTTCACCCAGAGGTGGAGGGTCTCTCACATGGGAGAAGATTTGGAAAACAAAACCGAGGCTCCTTTTGTCAACCTCTCACAGCCCCTGAGCAATTCCCTCTCAAACACTCAGCAACCCAGAAACCCTGCATTCTCAGAAGAGCCCCCAGTACTGGGGGATGGGCAACAGCTTAGAGCAGATGAGGCATTACTACAAAGAAAGAACATCATGGCACAAATTGCTGAGTTGACACTGCAGAATTCAGCTATCAGGGCTCATCTGAATAATATTCTTTGGCCAGGGGGAGAGCAAGGGGATGGACTTCGGGAGTTAAACAAACAGGAGACAAATCATACAAGCAACATGAGTGCTGTGAGTACCAGTTAAGGACTGACTATGGACATATAGGAATTTAGGTCCATTGCTGGAGCATCTTAAAGCGCTTCTTCCCAGGATATCTCTGAGGCTGTGCTAGATGGCTTATGCCTGGTCATGTCCTCATCACAAGAGAAGTAGAAGTTATTTGTCAGTTTCTATCTCAGATACAGTAAAAGAGGACAACATAAAATAAAAAAGAGGAATGAATGAGGAAAATAGGATGAAGGTAAAAATGTAGCAAAGCTAAAATTAGGCTAGGAATGAAGTTTTAAATGTAACATGCAGAATTAATATGACTTAAAAATTTGCCACACAACTACATTTTAATTGAAAGCATTTTTACTCTTAAAGGGGCTCATAAAAAAGAACTATGTGTAGTTGGCCCTCAACTCATGAATAGTTAATATTTTAGGACACAGAATGCATTTTGCTATAGAAATGATTTTAAAGGATTTTTAAAGTCAGACTTTAATGTACATATAAATCATCTGGGATCTTGCTCAAATGCTTTTTCTGATTGAATAGGTCTGAGGTAGGCCCTGTGCATTTCTAGTAAATTCCCAAATCATGCCAGTCTAAAGGCTATACTTTGAGTAGCAAAAGTCTGAATATTATAGTGCAAGAATTTTGTAAGTTAAATAAGCTGTGGGCTAACATGGTAACTTGGACCTTCATTTCCTTATTTGTGGGAGAAAAGGGATCCTAAGTTCCAATTGGGGAGAGTTTATAACCTACATTCTTCCCCTGGTCCCAGTGATGGGAGAAGCTTCCGTTTACTTTATTATGAGCCGGAGAGGCTCCTGTCAGGCTTCTGATAGGGACAGGACAGTGTTGGAGCAGTTGTTAGGGGCAGGCAGGTATCCTGGGTTAGGCGTTTCAGGGGTAATTGCTTCCACGAGGACTTTATCAGTAGTGGGTCATATGCGTCCAGGAGGAAGGTCAGGAGGTGGGAGATGGTAGGTTAGGGATACACGTCTGTCAGCACTGGCTCATGGGCAGTCAGGGTAAGATGGGTCTTGAGTCACAGAAATAGTAGTCAGAAGGGTCTGGCAGGAGAGGTGCCGGGAAGAAGTATTAGCAGTGGGCAGTAGCCTCGGCACAGGTGTGTTATAAGTATAAACTGCCTCAATTTTGAGTCATGGGAGACGTTGTTGACAGAGTTTTGAAGATGATTGGAAATAGGCAACGTCTTAGTTTAAAAATGGCAGCAAAGTTAAAAATTGATTTTGCCTCCTTTTCTAATTAGTATATAGATCAGGCTAAGGCACTAGCTGTCTTGAGTGAGATATCTTAGGTCAGAAGTGGCCTGGGGAGGCTGACATATGGTCAGAAAGAATGATAAGGGTCCTAGAAATCTTTACCAAATAACTCATGGTGCATGAATGAAGATTATAATTATAGAATCATCTCTTTCAACTACAGCAGATCCTTGTGACTCAGACCCTAGATCTGGTATTCATATGTATGTTACTTAGAAGCCAGGTCTTTAGAAGTAGTCTTTGCTCATGTGATCTTTTGTGTAGTTCAGCAAAAACTAAGAGATGCAGGAAAACTTTGTCCCACAGACACTCCCAATGGACAGAGAGACTAGAGGACACGTAGCACCAGTATTAGAAGAATTGGCATCCCTTTGTTTTAGCCCTAATTTTTCAATTAAGTGACTTGTAAATTTTGTTTTTAGTCCACTATTCAAGTCTGCACACAGCAAGGGCTATGAACACTAACTTGCTGGCTCTTAGTGGAAATTTATTTTTACAAACAGTCAAAATTGTTTGGATTGTTTTTAATATGGAATTTTTGTCTCCTTTTTTAAAGACTTTTCCAGCAACACGACCTCTAACACCAAATAGCATGGAGGAGCGGATTGCGGAACTGAACCGGCAGAGTATGGAGGCTCGCGGAAAGCTCTTGCAGTTAATAGAGCAGCAAAAACTTGTTGGTTTGAATCCTTCCCCTCCACCGACATCACCTATTCAGTCACCTCTCAGAGCTTGGACTGATTGGCCACAAATTCCTGATTTAAAAGGTAGACAGTTTAAAAGCTAAGTTTTTACTTTCTTGATTTTGCAAGTATATATTGAACTGAAGGAAATCTCAGAGAGCATATATTTCAGTGCCTTCAATTTTACATAGAAAAAAAAGACTAAGTTGCAGAATAAGTGACAGATAGATCTGGAAGGCCGGTCTCCTGTTGGGAAACTCCCCCATGGTGCCTGCAGGAATCTCCGGTGTCTGGGTCCCTAAGTTGCTCTACGTGGAAGTGGACCCATTACAGTCTATAATTTACTGAGCAAAATTATAATTTAGAATTTCATCAGCAAAAAATTAAGTTATCCTGTTAAAACTATGAAAACATTTTAATTGGTAAATTAAGCTTTTTAATCTATTTGTACATTTAAGATGTGAAACACACTAGAGGGGATTCTAAATAATAGAGCAGTAACTGAAAAATTATTGTAGTGTTCATATGCAAAAGGAACTGATGAGACGAAGTGGGATCTCAAGTTGCTCTTCAGTCAGAAATTGAATTATTAAGATTCTCAAGGGTTAGGGCTACACAAAGGCTGTGAAGAGACTGATTTTTGGCTCATATGAGAGAGAGTTCTACTTGTCAGGAATAGAAAAAGCTGCATCAGTGAGTGGTGCATTCGCTCAGGTGTTCAGGCATTTGTGTGTTGGAAAGATTAAGTGTCCTCTGGCTGGTCAAGGTAGGTTTCCTTTAAGGTATCTGCCAATAAGACTTTTCCTCTCAGAAGTTATTTCCATTTTGAAACTACAGACTCAGAGAGCAGACTCTTTTGGAGATTACTGATGGGTGCTGCATATCCCCAGGGCCCTTCTTCAATTTAGGCTTCTTCAGTTGATAATTTTGTCTACTGTTCTTCGTAGTCACAAAGTCTAGATGCAACTCCTAATTAGAATGAATAAATTAAATCACTCAGAATGTATGAACACCTACTATGTGCCTGCTATGCTCTGGACACTGGGGATACCACATGGAAGAGGACAAGTCCTTGCCCAGATTGACAACTTCAGTAGTCAAGTTGAGGAGCAGGCCCTAAACAAATAAGCAAATGAATATATGAGATAATGTCAGTTAGTGCTAAGTACAATGAAGAAAAAGCAGATTACTTTTAAGAATAATTTTGTGATTAAATAAGACATCTGTTTGAATAGATTTTTAAGGTAAAACTATTTTCGTTATCTCATTTTGTCCCCAACACACCATGAGAGTAGACAGAGTTGATATCATACTTGTTTGATGAATAAGTAAACTGAGATGTAAATAGGTTATATGATTTGTCTGAAGTTCTAAAGCAAATTGGTATTTTGCACTTGTATTCTTGCCATTCTAGTGGTTATATTCTTAAGATATTCTTTTTTTAAGTAAAATTCTTGGTTTCACAAGGAACCACTGTGGGTTATAATTATAAAGTAAAAACTCTATGCCATAGAACCTCTTTGTTTTCTAGGGTAACCAAGGGATATGTAAATAGGGTAGGTTTCATTACCACCTAAAGCTCAAAATCACTGGTTTTAAGTAAGTAATGATTTATGGGAGCTTTGGCAAAACTGACTGGGATGGACATAAAGTGTTCCATTAGTAAATAGTAAATATCTGTTGATTGATAACTTACTTCTGAAATATTGAAAAGGTACATAATTATTACCATTGGCCAGGTGAGCTCTTCATCTATTTAAAAGTCTTCCATAAGAGTGATGTAAAAGATTTAGAAGATTTAAAATTTTACTAAAAGACTTCAGATTTTTTCTTCTTTTCTTTTTTTTTTGGGGGGGGGGGAACTTTAGATAAGCTGCTTTTGACAAATATCTCAAGATCTTTAGGACTAGCTCTTCACTTCCAGATCTGACACGATACCACTTGTCTGAAGGTTCTGGCTCTCTATGACTGGCATGCTACTGAATTGACACTAACACTAAAGTTTTTTCTCACAGCTCATTTTAAAAAAATTCCTCCAAGTGTATCTGTGGGCCATAATGATAAAAATATAGAAAGAACCTCCAAATTTATAATATTGAAATCTGCAGTAAGACAGAAATCATTACATTTTTCATTTTTATCTTAGTGAAAGGTAATGGAATAATGTTTATTTTTATATTTTAGAAGGAGGAAAGAGGACAATTGAAATATCTGTTCCAGGAGCAGAAGCCCCAGAAACCTCGAAATGCAGTACTGTCTCTCCTATCAGTGGAATAAATTCAAGAAGGTAGGGTTACAATGGTAATAGTTACTTTAAAAAAAAAATCAAGAATATGGGATCTGTTTTATTCTCTTTGTGAGAAAAGGAAGTGCATGATATCTGACTTAGGTTCAGGCAGACTCACCGATGAAAAGAAAATAAAGTAGTCGGTGAGGAGAATTTTGGGGGGAAAGGAGAGGCATGAGGAACAAGCCTTCAATGAGTAGAAAGCATGGTTTGGCTATTGAGAAACAAAAATGGGATAAGAGCACATATATAGAATGCTTTATGGGTGACAAAATTGGGAGATACTATGTGACAGGGTGGGTAACTTAACCACTGGTATTTTCCTCTCATATTAAAATGAAACTGAAGTTCATAGAGCTACCTGTGTGATTTGCCTACATGTGTCACATGTTGATAAAATGGTGACACTAGGGATGGACCTACCTGGCTTTCTGTCTCGGCTGCATGCCTGCTATTGCACTGCATTCTCCAGGTCTTGTTACTCTTCCACTGCCTGGGCCTTCTTCACCCCTGCACATCCTTTTCCCCCTTAAATGTTTTAAACTTGTTAGTGTGATACTGTAATGCTGGATACATGATACTGTACATTTATCAAAACCTATAGAATGTATAACACGATGCATGGGCCCTATCGTAAACAATAGATTTAGTTTATAATAATGTATCAGTGTTACAGTTGTAACAAATGTACCACACTGGTATGAGGTATTCATAAAAGGGGAAACTGGGAGGAGGGGTTGAGGAATATATTGGAACCCTTGGATCTTTATACTAAGTCTTTCTGTAAATCTAAAATAACTCTTAAAAAAGGAAAGCCTATTAATTTTTTAAAAAGACTTAGCTTGGTGAAAATACGTTGCAAATAATTTACCTTCTTTGGATCTAAGTCAGCCATACTTTCTCAAGCTTGTGCCAGTATTGAGAATTGTCAGTCTTACATAATTTTTGAAGATTAATAATGATAGATTACTCTCTCCCTTTTATTCCTCACAAATAGATCTTCAGGGGCTACTAGTAATTCTTGTTCTCCATTAAATGCCACCTCAGGAAGTGGGCGATTCACACCTGTTAATCCAAGAGCAAAGGTATATGATAAAATGTAATTGTGAAATGTGTACCATATAGGGGCAGGAGGGCAGGGGTGAAAGGTGGCTATTTTCAGTGATTTCCATTTGTGTGTGTGTGTGTGTGTGTGTGTGTGTGTGTGTGTGTGTGTGTTTATTACTTTCAGAGAGAGGAAGGGACAGGGAGAGAGATAGAAACATCTATGAGAGAGAAACACCCCCTACTTGGGGATCAAGCCCAAATCCCAGGCATGTCTCCTGACTGGGAATCGAACCAGTGACCTCCTGGTGCCTGGGGCAACGCTCAACCAACTTAGCCACAATAGCTGGGCAGTGATTTTCATTCTTTATTATTATTTATGCTATTCTAAAGATGATATAAAAATGTGAGAAGAAAAGATATATTAATTTACCTTCATTAGAAAAACAAGCCACATACTACTTTTGTTTTCTAGGATAACTAAGGAATAAGAAAGTTCAATAGGATTTTAACAGTCTTTAAAGACTGGAAATTACTGGCTTTAGGCAGAGCTTCCCAAATAGTGTGGCAGGCCTTGAAGGTGTGCCTTGAACACCTTGTAGGCATACTGAGATACTAGTGCCCAGTCCTTGCTGTGGCTGGGTGGGGCTTGGGATAGTCAGCCCTGGGGTGGTCACTTTCCATGTCATTTTACCCCAGTGTGCCATATCTGAGGTCCCCCAAGGTACAGAGTTATGCACAAAGAGTAAAAAAAAGTCTTACATATTTTTCATGTGTTCTGATTTACTATAGGATTGTATAGAAACTAAGCATCTTAAAATATATCCAGTTTTCTTTGCAAAAGGCATTTCTCTGTATTGGTAATACAGCAAAATATAGTTCGTCTGAGTGTTTGGTCATAGCAAATTGTGAGAATATCTTTCAAATCACAAACATTACATTTGCAAATTTGAGCTAACAGCTCTCTGATACAGGAGAAAATCTTTGCTGTTCTTATTACCAACTTTAGTAATTAGACCAAATAGTGAATGTTTCAATTAACTGAGTACTTGCAGCCCAAATTAATTGATAGACTCATATATCTCAGTTGTCCAACACTAGATGTGCCCTTTGCTGTTTATTGTATTCTAAAAAGCTTTAAACTATTTTGTATAATTTGCTCTTAGTTTCTGGAATTTATTAGAATTTAATTTACAAAATCAAATGACTGTTATTTTTAAAAGTTACACATATGATTTGTATAAATACTGGATTTATCTTAAAAAAAAAATTAGGTCTCCTAAATCAACAAGGATACCAGTTGACCAGGGGATCAGTTATTTATGAGTGTCCGTTAGAAATAAAAATTGCCAGTAGCAATTTACTTTTTAGTACCACTGAGTGACATAGGGTAACTTTGATTCTGTATACTTGAATGGTCTCCTGTTTCTGATTACTTCCTAAATCCTTTTTGCATCTTTGTTCAACAGATTGAGAAACAAAATGAAGAAGGCTGGTTTGCTCTTTCCACCCATGTGTCATAAGTGAGGTCAAATTTGACCGTTTGTTTTCAGTGGTACATTCTTGAGCTTCCATTCCCCTTTCCCTGCTTTCAAGTTTTTGTCCTTCTTTCAGCTAAAACCTACAAAGATCCTGTGACTTTGTACAAATAGAACAAAGAAATAAAGCAATTATTTTATTTTTGACCTTTCAAATAGATTTCTAACAACTAACCAACCTGCAACCTCCTGCAAATAAAATGTTGACTATAGGGAAATTAAAGTTTCATATGCTAGTAATTTCCTAAGTACTTTAAGGTTTTTCTTTCTACTTCTTTTTTAATCCTCATCTGAGGATATTCTTTCCAGTGATTATTTTTTTTTTTAAAGAGAATGGAAGGGAGACAGTGGAGGGGGAGAGAGAAACAAAATCGCCAGAGAGACAAATGGTTTGGTTGCCTCCCGCTCATGCTCTGACGGCGGGGTAGGGATCAAACCTGCAACCAAGATATGTGCCCTTGGCCAGGAATTGAGCTCTTGACCCTTTGGTCTGTGGGCTGATGCTCTAACTTAAGGTTTTTCTTGAGTAATATATTATTACATTTATCGTATTTATTCAGGTTTTTTTTGGTGTAGTATATCTTAAATGTTGATCTATTTAATTTTTATTTTTACTTTCTGAAGAACTTAGTTGCTTTGCATATAACTTACAATAAAATGCCTTTGTGTGATTAAAGTCTGGCTTTCAGGAAAGTTTAACACCCCCTTTGGTTTTTTATTTTGGGGAAGTCTCTGTAGTCTATTGCTTTTCCTGCTAAGTGGAATGTGCAGCTTTCAAAAGTAGACATGGGAGTATTTGTTTATATTTGCTTCAGCAGGTAAGAGTGACTCTATGTATTGTAAAATTCCTATGTAGTCTTTAAATGTGAAAGTGCCATCAATAATGCTAATGTACAAAAAATAAATAATGATCATAGAGCTCAAATATCTAAATGCAGTAACACTGATTGATTTGTAAATTTAGTGTTTGAAACAGAATTAAATATAAAACATTGCTATCAATTTTCCCAGCCCATAATCTACTAAGCACTCTGGGTAGGTCTTTCTTCAGGGCACCGGTTTGGCTCTCAGATATTGGTTTCTATTTTAAACTTGGTTTTTGAATTATTCCTTGGCTGTATAACAGGAATTTTCAACCTAAGTGAGGTGGTTATGGGGTGGGGGAAGCACGTCGAGACTGCGTACTTGGTGAACATTCTCCGGTAAATACCTTCCCTTCTCCTGCATTGCGGTCACTGTTCCAGAAAGTGTCCTATGCAGCTTTCATTTGGGCTTCATTGTTGTGGTGACCAATAATAATTATTTTCTTCTGGTATCATTAATTTTATTTACATTAAGTCATCTGTATTCATTTGCATTACTGCAGATTCTTTTATCCATATTGCACTTTTTGAAACTTAGTACTTAATAAATACTATCCCTGTCGGGGATGCAAACGATTTTAGTGTTATTCCTTATATTCCTGAAATGCCAAGTTACCTGCTTGGCTTGTGAATGCATTCTTTTTTTTTTTTTTTTTTTTTAAATCCTCAATTGAGGACTTTTTTCCATTGCTTTTTAGAGAGAGTGGAAGAGAAAGGGAAAGACAGAGAGAAACATCGATGTGAGAGAAATACATTGATTAGTTGCCTCCTGCACACACCCTGCCTGACTAGGGCTTGGGCTGGGAGGAGCCTGCAACCGAGGTATGTGTCCTTGACCAGAATCGAATTCAGGACCCTTTGGTCCGCAGGCCCACTGAGCCAAACTGGCTAGGGCAGTGAATGCATTCTTTTGACATGCATTTTCCTTGTTCTCCAACTAGCTGGCTCTTTATTCTCCCTCTCCCTTTATATTCCTATAAACCTCAATAGCCATGATTCTTAACTTTGGGAGCATTTTAAAAAATGCCAAATTGACAACCCCAGGGGCTTGTTGAGGCTTTGGCAGCTATTTTTAAAGGCTCAAAGTGATTTAATGTGAAGCCAGAGTTGAGAAAGATTGCAAAAAACATTTACCACAGCTCACTGGCAAACTGTGGGACTGGCATTTAAGTATCCACCTTGTCAGTGTTTGTCTTTGATACAAATGTAGATTGAAGAAACTGCAAGAATATTAGATACAGAGAAAAGAGCCTTTTTTTCTTAGACCTAAAGCAGTGCTTCTCAACTTTGGCTCCCATTAGAATCATCTGGGACCTTCTAAAATTCCTAATGCCCAAGTCTCGTTACATATCAAGTAAATTAGAATCTTTGGGAGCAGGACACAAACATCAGTATTTTTTAAAACCTAAGATGATTCTAGTGTACAGCCAACTTTTGGAAACATCATTACAAATACATTTATTATCCCCTAATCTTGAATTGGTGCATGCTTGGTTTTAATTAACAGTTCAATTTAAAACATATATATATTTTGATTTTAGAGAGGAAGGGAGAGGGAGAAAGAGAGAGAAACATCAATGATGAGAGATAATCACTGATCAGCTGCCTCCTGATGCCCCCCACTAGGGATTGAGCCTGCATCCCAGTGACCTCCTGGTTCATACGTCAATGCTCAAGCACTGAGCCATGCTTAATTAACAGTTCAGTTGCTTAAAAGCCCTCTTTATCAGCTTTCAGAGCCAACTGCATCAGTGGGTCTCAAAGTCTGACCCCTAATCGGCAGCATCAGCAGCAGCATCACCTGGCACATTTCTTTTACAGAGTCTTTGAATATGTATTCTGAACTGTCCTTGAATATATATTCTGAAACTAGAGGCCCGGTGCACGAGATTAGTGCACTCAGAGGAGGGGGGTCCCTCAGCCCGGCCTGTGCCATTTCACAGTCCGGGAGCCCTCAGGGGATGTCTGATTGCCAGCTTAGACCTGCTTTAGGAGCGGACCTAAACTGGCAGTCGGGCATCCTTAGTGCTGCCGCAGAGGCGGGAGAGGCTCCTTCCACCGTTGTGCTCTCCACCCATGAGCCTGGCTTCTGGCTGAGTGGGGCTCCCCTTGTGGGAGCACACTGACCACCAGGGGGCAGCTCCTGCATTGAGTGTCTGCCCCTTGGTGGTCAGTGTACATCATAGCGACTGGTTGTTCTGCCATTTGGTCAATTTGCATATTAGCCTTTTATTATATAGGATACGATGGTACTTGTTAGAAATGGAAATTCCTGGGCCCTACTCAGAAACTCTGGTGTCTGTTTTAATAAGCTCTTTCTGTGATTCTGATGCATGCTCACATTTGGAAACCATTGGTCTATAGCAGGGGTGGGCAAACTTTTTGACTCGAGGGCCACAATGGGTTCTTAAACTGGACCGGAGGGCCGGAACAAAAGCATGGATTGAGTGTTTGTGTGAACTAATATAAATTCAAAGTAAACATCATTACATAAAAGGGTATGGCCTTTTTTTTTTTTTTTAGTTTTATTCATTTCAAACGGGCCGCATTCGGCCCGCGGGCCATAGTTTGCCCATGGCTGGTCTATAGCATTGTGGAGGAGTGAATTCTGCTATATTTGGCTGTCATATACTACATTTATATTTACTTTTAATATTCCAAACTCAGATTACTTGTGTTTCTTGTGTTTAGTCTCAAGGTTTTGCATAACATGTGACTTCTTCTCCAATATGCAATAGAAAGCTGCTAAATCACTTGCCAAACTTTAATAATATTTATAGTTCTCCAAATTGTAGCTTGAAGAAAAACTAGATCAATAATTGTTAAATCCACAGTTGTAGATAGTAAAGTAACTTGGGTTAGCAGAATTTAATAATAATTTACTGTTTACTAAGTGCCAGGCACTATTTTAGCCACTTTACATGATTTCATGACACAGATACTGTTATCCTTATTTTGCAGATGAGGTGCAAGGAGGTGAGTACTCTCTCAAGGTCATCCACCAGGGTGTGGTGGCACTAGAATGGGAACAGAGATAGCCTTTCTCCAAAGCCTGTGCTATGCTGCCATCCTACAGTGTGTATGGCTTGGAAGCATCATAACAATAATAGCTATCTCTTATCGAGCCATTACTGTGTCAGGCACTGTACTAAGCTGCAATATCCCCATTATTTCATTTAAATCTCACAGTAAACCTATGGTTAGTTGTTAAATGCCACCCACCCCCCTTTATACGTGAAGAAATTGAGCCCTAATGGTAAAATAAATTGCCCATGTCAGAATGCTTATAAGAAATAAAGGACTTGAAGTTCTTATTAAAATAATTATTGGGCTTCTAATTTATAGGGAAGAACTAATATAGCGCAGTGGTTAAGGATACAAGTATCGCAATAGGAAAGCCTGGATTCAAATGCCATCTCTGCCACTTGAGCTTTCCCTTGGGCAAATTAATCTCATCTTTCCTATTTGAAGTCAGATAATATATTTTTTTTCCTATACAGTTGGGAGGATTAAGTGAAATTATACACACACACACACACACACACACACACACACACACAGGACCTAACTCACAACAAATGTTCAGAAATGATAACTGCTAGGTTGTAGTGTATAAATAAATACACCATTTTCTCCGTTTCTAGATTTTTAAAGACATTCTGTAGTGAATTGTTATTCTCTGATTAGCAGCTGGACCCAGCACTTTTAATTTCAGGGTATTTCACCTGAAAAGATGTTTGGAGGTTGGAAGAAAACGTTGAACATGTTATTTGAAAATGTAACTAACATGCTCTCTAAAAATAATTTTATCGTATGTTCTCTGAATTTTCATACACTCTGGATACACTGCTTAATAATAGCAAGAATAGGTCTTTTTTTTCTTTTTATACTCAAGAATACTTTCTAAAGAGAACACTTGAATGTTACCAATAAATGCATGGTATAAAGTTTTTGGAAAGTTGTTATGTAACATTATGGAAACCAATAAACAAAATGAAATACAGCCATGTTTTTCTTGTCAGTTTTATTGAGAAGTAATTTATATATAGGAAACTACATCATTTAAAGAGAACAATTCATTGGCTTTTGGTAGTTGTAAAAATACACAAAACTATCACAATTAGGACACATTTCTATCATCTCCAAAAGATTTCATCTCTGCAGTGTATCCCTCCCTTTGCTCCAGCCCTAGGCAACCACTGATTTACTTTTGGTCATCACAGATTTGTTTGCATTTTATATAAAGGGAATCATACACTATGTACTATTCTGTGTCTGTCTTCTTCCACTGTAATTGAAATTCACCCAAGTTGGGTGTATCAGTTTCTTCCTTTTTAAACTCCCGAGTAGCATTCCATTGTATGCTTATCCATTCACCTGTCAGTGGTCATTTCCAGTTTTTTTGCTCTTGTAAATATAGCTGCTACTCAGGTGGAAGCTTTGTACAGACATAAGTTTTTGTTTATCTTGGGTAAAGACCTTGGACATGAAATGGCATGGTATATGTTTAACTTTTAAAGAAACTGCCAAACGGTTTTCCAAAGTGTTGTGCCATTTTACCTTCTCAAGAGCAGTGCATGAGAGTCCTGCTTGCTCCACATCCTTCTACATTTGGAGCTGGCAGTTCAAAAAATTTCACCCACCCCAGTGAGTGTGGGGGGTGTGGCTGTGGTGTGCATCTCCCAGAGGTCTCCTGTTAAGCATCTTTCCATGTGTTTACTGATCACTCATATATCTGATGTGAAGCATGCTAAGTCCCTTGCCCATTAAAAAAAGTTTGGCAGTTTTTTCTTATTGAATTACGAATTATGTTTTCTGGATACAGAGTTCTTTGTCACATATCATTGCCATGTTGTCACCATTTTAAAACTTGTGTTGTAATCAATAACATGAGGTATTTAAAAAATCAGTTCCAGCTCTGGTTGTACCACAAAGCACTTGAAGAGTAAACTGCTCAACTGCCCAGCGTCCTGCGACCAAGGAGCCCACAACATACAATCTTATGTGCTCTTAAAGGCCAACAGAGATAACATAGTGTAAAATAAGTAGTTAAATAAACAAA